AGAGAGAAGGAAAAAAAAAAAAAAAGTTCCGTTTTCAGAACTGAAAACGTGAAAATGAAAACAGGTTTTTTTCATTTTCACTTTTTTAGAAAAGACAAAAACATTTTTGTTTTTGTTTTTCAAAAACTTTTAAGCCAAACACATTTTCAGTTTGCATTTTCATTTTTTAGTCTTGAAAAACGTAAAAAATGAAAATGAAAACATAAACAAACAGGCCCATAGTTTTTTATTCATTAAATTTACATAAATTCACGTAAATATTTAAATTTAACGATTAAAAAAAATCTGACCTATCAATACACCAGACGTACCAAAAAATCTCTTAATATATTATAATTTCAAAAGAAAAACAAGATGACTGTTAAACCCGGCCCCATTTTTGCTGCATAAGTTTTGTTCACGTTGAACTTAACATGGACAATATCCAACCAGTCAAATTCTACTCAAGCATTGGCTTCTAATAATTGGTCACAAAAATATTAAGAACCATGTTCAATACTGATAAGTGACAATGTTGTAATTCCACAATTTAGAGATTTGAACTTAAAATAATTATACACATTCAACGCGGTGTTGGCCCGCAAAAAAAAAAAAAAAAAAAAAAAATCTAAAAAAATCTAAAAAAATCAAAAAAAAATCCAAAAAAAATGAAAAAAAAAAAAAAAAAAAAAAAAACCAAAGCAAAACAAAATTCTGCATAATGATGGCTGGTGAAATGTTTAATTTAAAAAAAAAAAAAAATCGGAGAGAAAGGGAAAAAAAGGACATAACTTTCAACATTGCTGCAACAATTTGAATAGTGTGTTGGATAATTTGAGTAACAACTAACTGTAGTGGGAAAAAAAACAAGAAATTTACAGTATACTTGAACAAAACAACAGAGATAGCAAAAGAAACACAAATGTGTCTATTCGGATGGTTCTTTCTTATGAAAACTCCTTTTCCTAATGAGAAGGTCACCAAATCTCCTCAACAAAGCTTTCTTTTTCCTTGAGTTTCTATCATTCTCCGAATCATCAAAATGGGTCCCATCAAGACCGTCTAAATCATCCAACTGTGCTTGTTCTCCGTCTTCATTACTACTAAATGTTGAACACATCTTTCTATGATGATTGTAACTTTCCGGTTCTGGGGAATCCCCCACATCAAATATTGACCCCCCAAGTGCCTCATCTATTTCACATTCCTCAACTTCACCCTCACTTTTGTTTGGTATTATTTTTAGGTTCTTGAGATTCAAGCTCAAAGTTTTTCCAATTTTGATCTTTGCCTCATCTTTTTGGTTCTTGCCCACTGAATTATGTCTCTTCAGCATTCCCCTTGACTCTGTTTTCTCCTTTTCCACTTCATAAAGCAATCTTTTCAACTCCTTTATGTTCTCAAGAGAAGCAGCCTCATTAAGCCTGTAATTCTCATTCTCTCTTACAAGAAAAAATAAGGCTTCCTCTTTCTCCTCCAAGCTATCTTTCAACTGCGAATTCTCAACTCTAGCAATCTCCGTGGCCTCTCTCGCGGTATTAGCTTCGTTCAAGGCTTGTTTTAGTATATCTCTCAACTTACCATTCTCTTCCTTGGACACCCTTGTCTTGTTTTCAGCCACATTGATCAAGTCAAGCAATCTAGTATTCTCTAGTTGTGCAATTGATCTTTCCTCATCGGCTCTCTTTAGGCAATCGACGAGCCCGGCTTCTTTCTCATTCCATGCTAAAATTGTCTCCTCTGCTTCTAGTCTCAATCTCTCGGCAGTGTTTTTGTGCCTCTCGGCTTCTTTCCATGCTTCCTCCAACACTCGTTTGTACCGTTCCTCGTTGCTCTTTTGAATCGCCTTCAAACGCTCCTCCTCGCCTTTCGAGTGTTGTAGCTCTGCTTTGGCTAGGCCTAGTTCCTCCTTCACTTGACTAGCTTCCGTTGCGACTTCTTTTAGTGCCAATGCCAAATCGTCCAATGCCTTTTTGCTCGTCTCTTCAGCCACAGTTGCCAACTTGAGCTCATTTCTAAGCAAATCCATTTCATCAATCAAACTCTCCGCCTTCAAGGATGCAAGTTTCCCAACTTCCTTTGCCCCAGCCAGATTCTCTTTTGCAAAGCAAAGCTCAGACTTTAGACTCTCCATTAACTCTCTCACATTTTTATTTTCCTCTACGAGAAGTTGTTCTTTACCGGTTTTGCACGGTGAACCCTCCAATGTCCTTACTTTCTCGCGAAGAGAAGAAATCTCAAAATTTGATTCCTCCAGAGTCTTTATCTGGTTGATCAAAGAATCGAACATTTTGGTTCCTGATTCCTTCCCTTTCTCCATTTCGGTCTCCAACTCACGAACCCGTCTCTCATTCTCTGTTAAGAAAGCCATCGTTTGAGCCTCGAAGGATTTCACTTTAGCCAGCTCTGCCTTCAACTTTTCCAATGAGGCCTCTTTCTCGGCCAATTTCAACTCCAACCCTTTTGCTTTCTCAAGCTGAAGTTTCAAAGATTCAATGAGTTTTTCTTTAATGCTCAATTCTTCATTTGCCTTGTATAACAACACCTTCATTGAGTTCAACTCCGTCTGCACCGACGACTCCTCGCGACGTCTCGTGCTGCTCTCGTTCTCAGCCAATTTCTTCATCTTCCTAAGCTCATCAAGTGCTTGATCTCTTTCTCGTTCCTTCATACACAATTGTTCCCCTATTTTCTTCATATCTTCCTCAAGTTGTCCCATATGTTGTTGCATCTTCTTTATCAAAAAAAAAAAGTACATTAATTCTTTTACTATATTGAAAATCAAATGCAACCCCAATTAAGAAAGTTTCTACAGAACTGATGATCATAGCTTACTTTCATATCATATAGATTATCATAATCATAAATATGAATAGGAAAAAATCAACTGAACAAAAGAGGTTATATAACCGCGAAAAAATGATTAGTACCCTGAGAATATTTGATTGAAGAGAGCCTTACGAACTTGTGATGTGACTGTCGATGGTTTTGAAGATGATCTTTCAAATAAAAACAAAAAACAAATAATTATTCAATGAGGGTTCAACAGACCCAGATATCAAAACCGAACGTTTGACAGATTAAAACACCAAAAGAAAATACATGAATTACAATTAGTTAAGAAACTTGTTTAAACAACCGTTATTTGGGATAACAAAAATTAAACAGAAGCGAAATAAACCAATTATAAAATACACCTGATAGGTAGATTAGAAAGAGCATTGAAGTTTCCCTGAAAAAGTCGTGAATAAAAAGAGATCTAGAAAACAAAAGTACCTCGGTGACCTGTTGGTTTTGGCGACTATTATTTTTTTGGTATCGTTGTGATATCTTCAACATTAAAAAAGTAGGTAGAAGATTGTAGGAAAGCACAAAATTTAGCACAAAATTTGTAGAGAGAGAGAGAGATTGTTGGGAGAGAGAAATAGATTGTTTCTTGGAGGTAAGTCCGAAGTTGGCGGGTTTTCCACTAAAACAACCTACGGCTAAATCTATGTCGTAGTGGCATTCATGACAATGAAATCCGGATTTACTCTAGAATAGAGTTTTTACTTGGACTTGTTTAGGATTATTAACCTTTAGCACCTTGTGCTTTAAGTTTACTTAAAAAGTAGACACTCAAGTTTTTTATGTCTATAACTAAAAAATTAAATTTAATATAAAAATCTGTAATTATTTTTTTCCTATTAACACAAAACTTTGACCATTAAAATACCCAAACTAAGCTCAAACTGAGAAAAAAATAAAAATAAAAAAAAAAGTCTAAAACTGGAGGTTTCTAAAATTTTTTAACTCTTTATTTTTTTTTTCCATGTATTTAACGGTATTTTGGTTATTTTTAAGTCAAAACCTAGTGTTGTTGACTACATTTGGTAATTAAATCTAATCTTAAGGTAAGAAACCGAGAGTATACTTCTGAATAAACCTAAAATACATAGAGTAAAAAAGTAATAAAAAAGTATATTAAAAGCAGTCATTTAACCATAAAATTTGACACGTAATATTTAGGGCCAAGAAATGGCATTTTCCAATCTCCAATATTCGTGTGGTTTGGTAAAGTACCCAAATCCAAGCCAAGTTCATTCTCTTCCAAACCGTTGCCTTGCGATCCGTCAAAATCCTCTCTGCCTATTTGACTGAAAATTCAGATCTTCCGAAATGAACGCGTCAGTGCGTTAGAAATTACATACCGTACAACGCTGATCTCAACAGAAACAACTTCATATAATTCTAAAAACACATTAAAAATTTAAATTAATATGCATAATATTTTCTTTCTCCTAAATCCAAAAAGAACCACTTGGAAATCCCAAATCAAATCAAAAGTCCACAGTAAACAAAAAAAAATCTTAAAAAAAAAAGAGCAGCAAAAACTCCTATCAAATCTCAAAGGCCTAAATATAAAATGATTTAAAAACACACTTCAAATCTAATGAGTGCGTTTGGAGTTGATTTTCGCTTGTTTTAGAAAATGTTTTCGCACGTTTTTTAAAGTACGAAAATAAAAACGGTCTGTAAATCATGTTTGTTTAGCAAATATTTTAAAAACAAAAACAAAAATAAAAAACAGTGAGAATGATTTTTGTGAATGAATTAGAAAACGATTTAAAGTTATTTTTCTTTTTCCGTTTTCATTTTCTAGTACCTATTAGTTATAATATATTAATTAATAATTGTAACAAAATACAATTTTATTTTTTTATTATATTCAAAATAATCTCTTAAAAAATTAACCAAACACAATTTCAGAATCGGTTCTAAAGTGATTCTCAAAACAATCTCATTTTATTTTTGTATTGAAAGTAAAATCATTTTGAAACATTTGTATTGAAAACAAAATTATTTTAAAAACGTTATAAACAGGTCCAATATGTACCTCTATAAACTGTGTTTGTGTTTGTTTTTGTTTGATTTCTTTTCTGCGATTCTGTTGCTCAGTAAGTCATCCCAATTCCCAAGTAGGTCATACCCAACCCAGTCGTCTCACCTTAGCCCACACTGCCCAACTGGCCTGGACCTCCTCTATATATACTTCTTACCTATGACAAGTACCAATTGTGAATTGTTGATCTAGTTTCTCGTTTTGTGCATAATAACTTTGGAACTTTGGAGAAAGATTTTCTTTCTTTATTTTTTAAGAATTTTGTTTTTTTTAATTATTTTGAATATCTTTGACATTTGTAATTAACTTTAAGTTACATTAATGTTTTTTGAAAAAGAAAAAAAAACTGAAACAAATTAAATAAAAATTTTAGAAACGACAAGTCAACAAATTAATTTATAACCCAAAAGAAGACCTTAATTTACTATTCCATATGATGATCTTTTGAAAAAACACGAGGTACTTTCTTAATATTTTCCAAACGACAAGACACCATGAGATGTTGCATTAAAAACGAATACCCAAATGAAAACCAAAAATCCAAGGAGGGGGCAACAAGATGCAAAACCACGAGCAAAAGGTTGAGTAGCAATTCCATTTTGCTCTACCGCAATTTCATTCGCCCGCAGTTCTAAATAAGTTGGCCAAGTCTGCAATTATTAAGAATGAAAATATCGATATTTATAAAAATATTAATACTTACATTTTGTAAAAATATTAACAAAAACATTAATATCAATAGAAGTTAACGTAAAAAATAAAAATTCATTCTAATACACTGTATTTTTAAATGAAATTTTAAGAAATTTTAAAATAAATATTAATACATTAATTAGAAGAAATTATCAATCAAAATAACAATTATTTAATAAATATACAAGATAAATTATGATCATAATACCACAAATACTAGCACGCATTTACAAATTAAATAAAATAATTAAAAATTAACATAATACATATACCATACACATAGTTTTATATGTGATGATAAATTATCAATATTAAAAAAAAAAAACTTATAAGAGAATCAAAAGTATTTTAAACACATTCTTAATTTAAACAATATTAATACAAGACATAAAAATTTAAGGGATTGTTCTTTTACATTTTTAAATTAAACATTTTTAAGTGAAGATTTTGAATTGAATTTGAGTTATAATTTAAGTTAAAATTATAACTTGAGTTTACATTTAGTTGTGTACATTTAAATTATAATTTAAGATAAGAATTTTTTTAAATTTATATTTGAATAAATCAAAACTTAAATTTATATTTAAATAATATTTTAATAAAAATTCAATGATGATAAAAAATTTTAATATAATATATAGATAAAATTTTATTCGTCTTTTTATTATCAACACATAAAAAATTATCTCAATCAAAATTAAAATTAAAAAATTATAATATTTTTAAAAATAAAAAAATATTAATAATTAATTTAAATTTAAATTTCTAAACTCGAGAAATACGAATGGAAGAAGAAATTTAAACTTAATTTTATTTCTAAACTCGAGTTCAAACTCAATTTTAAACTCAAAATTTAAACTTAAAAACATAAATTTAAATAAAATTATAACTCAAATTACTTTTTTTTTTTTTTTGACTGCCGAACTCCCTAAATAATTCCTTCCATTTTTAAAGTGCCATATTTTAAAATTTCTTTTAAAAGGTACAAAATTTCTGTAAAAATAGTACCGATATTTCTACAAAATTGCCATAAAAATTTACCGATGTTCAGTCATTAAAACATAAATACTACCACGTACAATTTAGAAATAAACATTTCCATAAAAAATTAATATTTACAAAAACATCTGAATTTAAAAATTTTTTGCGAAAAAGATGCACCCGTATTTTCACATTGTACTTTCAAAATGTAAAAATTTCCCCATGTAAAAATTTCCCCAGGCTAGCTAATATGCCCTCTAGTTAATAGAAAGCCGGCTGGCTTGACATCGTTCGCTATAAGAATAAACCTGGGACGTTTAATTGAAGAATTCAAACATGTAATTCGAATCATTTTCAATTTGTGTAATTTTTTACTGTAATTAACCACAAATCATAATTTGAATCAGGAATATCCCTCTACCAAACATCCTCTTAATCTTGCACCAACACAACTTCACGCGCATTCAAAAGTGAGAACCCCCTTGGCAGGCCAGTTCTTGCTCATCTAATAACATAAGCGTGTATTATTTTCAGGATCCAAACTGAAACTGTGAGCAATCCCTCTCAACATAAATCCGACATTAATCTTGCACCAACACAATATCATGTATGTACACTCCTCATTCAAATGTTGTACACGAGCATCGGTCATTATAACCAAACCCCAAATTGACAAACTCCATTCTACTTCTATCGATCAACACGCAAATAACCACTATAAACATATCTCATCAATGACATTTTCGAGGAAAAAAAATATCATACCAATATAACGAATTCAAATGGAGACTAGGCTAAATTAGATGCAATAAGAGTCATTTAACACAATCAGTGTGGCTGCAAACTCCTAAAATACACAATTAACAGAAATATAGAATTAAAAAATCCTCCATTCTATGAAAACAAAACAACCCTTAACTGCACACCACCATTGTCCAGGCATATCATATAAGTGTCTTTGCCTATTACCAAAATATTCACTGCAACTTCTACCTACATCTATCTAACTGATTGACACAAACCAAAAACAACTTCCACAACTATATTAAGCATTTTGCAGTTCGATTAAATCAGCACCTTGCAGCCAACACTCGCCCCAACTTCGAGCACCACACTTAAGCACGCTCACCCCTGATCCGCCTGGCAAGCTGGATGTCCTTGGGCATGATGGTGACACGCTTCGCATGGATAGCGCAAAGGTTGGTATCCTCAAACAGACCCACAAGGTAAGCCTCAGCAGCCTCCTGCAATGCAAGCACGGCGTGGCTCTGGAAACGAAGATCAGTCTGCAAAAACAAGGGAAAACAATTGTGGGAATATCAGTATCTATCACCGCGAAACCATGTGATAAATAATGCAGATCAAAAACTTAACAAAGCCTCTACCTTGAAGTCCTGGGCAATTTCACGAACAAGCCTCTGGAATGGCAGTTTCCTGATCAGGAGTTCAGTACTCTTCTGGTACTTACGAATTTCACTGTGCAACATTAAAACAAAGGGAATTAGGCAAAAGCTTAAAACGCCAAAACAAAAACAAAAAATCAGACAGCTGGCAAGTTTCTTACCGAAGAGCGACGGTACCAGGGCGGTATCTGTGGGGTTTCTTCACTCCTCCAGTGGTCGGGGCAGACTTACGGGCAGCCTAACAACATAAATAATAAAAAACATAAGTAATGTGTTGAAATATAAGAAGTGGTAAACCAAAAGAAAATAAAAACTAAACCGGAAACATTGAAATTTCAGGAGAACAAACCTTAGTAGCGAGCTGCTTCCTAGGAGCCTTTCCTCCGGTGGACTTGCGAGCAGTTTGCTTCGTACGGGCCATCTAAGAAAAGAATTTGAACGTTAACAACAAAAAAGTACAAATGCAAAATTGAGATTTCTTATTTCCAACGTAGATTCCATCATCATCAAAAACATAACTAAATCACGAACAAATCTCTGAGGAAATACAAGAGTAAACCGCAAGAGAACTAACCATATCACAAAAAGAAAAAAAATAACTAGCCTTGAATTTCATGAAATTAACGAATCAGAACACGAAAGAGAACATGGCATTGCAATATTGCGAAATCAAGATAAAGAAACCAAACGCCCTAATCAGACCTCAAGAAGCGAGAATCACCGAGAAATATAATCGTTTCGAAAATCAAACCCTAAATAGATACCGAAATCCGCAAAAAGAAACCAAACGCCCTGATCAGACCTCATGAAGCGAGAATCCCCGAGAAATATAATCGTTTCGAAAATCGAACCCTATATAGATACCGAATACTTGAATCTAATGGGAGAATACGCCAAAAATTACCAAAGGAAACAAGAATCTCCAAGAAAATAATAGTTTCAAAAATCGAAACCCTAAATTGATGCCAAAATCTTCAATCTAATGGAAGAAGAAAACTACTCTGGAACCCTAATCGACCAAAAGATGAACCAAGGAATCGAAAAGTGAAAACAGGAAAAACCTACCTCTGATTGCTCTTCTTCCTTCTCTCTTCCTCTACGACTCTTTCTCTCTCTAGACGAACTAAAGTTTTGGAACGATGTGCGGTTATGGCCTATATATAGCGTGCGACCGTTGGAGTACTCGATGATCGAACGGATAGGATTCGCTATCCGTGTGTTTTCTCCGTTTTAGATCGGACGGTGTATACATAGCTTAGTTGTGTTTTCTCGTCTGAAATGTACGGCTTGGATTTAAAAGTTAAGTGCAAACGCGGATCGTCACAGAATAATACTGGCTTCCTATTGGTTGATGGAAGTAACAACTCCGTTTTGCGGTTTGTGTAGTTTTCTTTTCTTTTTCGTTGCCCATTTTTGTAGCTGTTGTTGTTATTATTTTAAGGAAAAAGGCTAGAGTTGGAAGGTTACTCCTAAAAAACAAAAATTTGAATTTATTTATTTATTTATTATTATTATATTAATATAAAAAATACTAACGTTAGAAAAAAATAAAAAATAATAAAGAAAAGAATAGCTATGATTGGCAATTTTATAGCTTGTGCGTCTATTGAAACATTTTTTCTATTATATACCGCCCGTTTAGTTCGTTGATTTGAGTTTTTAATTTAAGTTGATATGTGGTCCCGTTCATTTCATCGATTCGAATTTAGAATTCGAGTTTTGTTACAGTAAAAGGCTCTCAAAAACAGTCACATTTAACTTTTTTACTACAGTAAAAAGCTCTTACATAACGTCACATTTCAACTCGAATTAAAAACTCGAATCAGCAAACTAAACAGGCCCACTGTAGTAAAACTTAAATTCTAAACTCGAATCGGTGAAATGAATGGGACCTTAATATTCTCCGTTCATTTCACTAATTCGAGTTTAGAATTCGAGTTTTGCTACAGTAAAAAGTTCTCAGAAACAGTCATATCTAACTTTTATCTAACTTTTTTATTACAGTAAAAAAATTTTACATAAAATCACATCTCAACTCAAATCAACGAACTGAACAGACACAAATTATCCATTAACAAAATTATTTGTATTAGGCAATAACATTTTAAAAAAATACTTATTACACATCCTATTATTAAAAAATTATATATTTCCTTCTAAAAGTTATTGTGCCTATTTTTTAAAAGTTAAACTGCAGTAGTTGTCTTCAAATTCATAAATTAGCTAGAACCAGTCTTATCACTTATGTGTTCTATTTTGACGCACTGTAATTTGAGTTTTTGTCTGTAAGAGAGAGGAAAAGAAAATCTGAAAAAAACAAAACAAAAAAACAATTACCGTGAATTCTTAAGGGGCATAGTCATAGATTCGTTTGGTTACTTTGCATGTCAAATTGAATTGTTGGATAACCTTTCTTTTTCCTCTGTACTAGTCTTTAGTGTGTGCGCACGTGATTAGTTTAAAATAATAATTTTATAATAACTTAAAAAAAATAAAAAAAATATCTCTCACCTAAAAAAGATTTTAACTTATTTTAGTGTGTTTTTAATTAATTTTATTATGTTTTGTTTGAATTTATTTTTTATTTTATTTTAACTCAACACATTTTTGTTTATTTTTCATTAGAACTTTTTACAATATTTTCATGTGAGTAGTATGAGAAAATTGGTGCAAGATAGTAGTAAAATAGTTACAATTCATACAAATTATTTATATATTTTTATTTGTGTAGCATCAAAAATTCAGCGTAAAACGGTACTAAAAATCAAGCTACAAATGACTTAAAATAAATAAATAAACATAATTAATAATAATAATTAATAAAATGAGAATGATTTTGAGCCACGCACGTGATCTATTCAATATAATCGATATGTAAATTGTTTATTAGAAAAAGAAACGAACAAAGAAAAAATGCATAAAAGAAACATGTTAGAGTACGGTGACTTGAATTCTATTTAGTCTCGCCTTGAAAAGCTCGCGGTGCGACATATGTGGCGGAACTTTAATTATCAACATGATCCCTCCGCTATCACCTGTTTTGTTTAATTTAATTTGACGTGATTTTATTTCATTTTAGTATATTTTTCTTTTGAATCTTAGTTGATTATTTAAAGTAAATTTTTTCATTTATATTATTTCACATATTTTTATCTAAGTAGTATCAAAAATTTAGTGTAAAACAATGTTAAGTCATACCACAAAGGGTTTGTTGGTTCTTTTGTCTTCATATAAATGGATTTTTTCTGCCTGAATTTTTTCTTTTGATTTTGAAAGTCAAATCTGAAGACTTTTTTATGCGTATTTTGATATTTAGAATGATAATTTTGGTTTTATTTGATTCAATATTTGAATTATTTAGATGACGTTTATTTTCTATATTCGTTTCTGATTATAAATTATGATTTTTCTCTCACAAAAAAATATACGTAAAATAAAAATAGTTCTGAATCATGATTCTAAATACATAAATCAAACGTCCTCTTAATTTTTATTAGTTAAAATGCTTTTAACGTTTAATAAACTCATCTTTTATTGTCATTTAAGCATTTTCCGTCCAATTGATAAACATAAGTGGATGAAATGAGTTATTTGAACCGTTTTTTATATAGTAGGAGTTAAAATAGACAATTTTAAAAAATTGAAGTCTCATTTATTTAATCACTTTAAATTTTATTACAACAAAAAATTTAAAAAAATAATCACATTTAATTTTTTTATTATAATAAAAAAAAATTATATAAAATTCTATTTTAATTAAAATTAAAAATTTAAATAAGCAATTAAACACTTAATAAAATATACATAGATATTTAGGAAAATAATCCAAAATAGTATTTAGGCCAAGTACACTTTTGGGCACTTTACCTTAGTTCCCTCCGCAAATCCCAGCCTATAATTTACATTAGGAAACACCACCAAGACATGTATACACCGTCCGATCTGAAACAGAGAAAAACACGATGAGCGAATCCAATCCGTTCGATCAATCAGCGCAGGTCCCACGCTATATTAATGCCGTAGCCGCTGCCTTGCCAAAGTTTTGGTTCGTTTAGAGAGAGTAAAGTGTCGCAAAGCAAGGTTAAGGAAGAAGAACAGTCAGAGGTAAGATTTCCTTTCAATTTTCAATTTCTCGTTTCTTTTTTGGTCGATTAGGGCTCAGGAATAGTTTTCGTCTCCGTTTAGTTTGAAGGGCTTCGTGGAGATATTTTCTGAGATCTGATTTAGGGCGTTTGATTTTTTTTTTCCTTTGGATTCCGCACTCTTGCTATTGCATATTTCTCTCTCTCTCACTTGTTACGTCCTGAGCTTTTAATCATTAATCTTGGTCACTAATTTAAGGTTTTCATCAAATTCAGAATTTTTTTTTTTTTGTGTGTGAAGGAGAGTGATTTTTCTGTGATTGTTCTGAATTTATTCATGTTTTGATGATGATAATGGAATAACGCTGAAAGAGTACCACTTTGCACCTGTCAAAATACTGAAAGAGTACCACTTTGCTGGTGTTGACGTTCAAATTCTCTTTATAGATGGCCCAAACGAAGAAATGAGAATGAAAGCAGTGTTTTTTTTTCCTCTTTTTTTTTTTTCTGTTGGTGAAACAATGTCTTTTTTTTTTTTTCATTTGTAGATTAACTGAAATGGCTGGTCACAAGGTTGCACATGCCACCCTGAAAGGCCCTAGTGTCGTCAAGGAGTTATTGATCGGATCAGTACTCGCCTTGGCCGCGGGGAGCCTCTGGAAAATGCATCACTGGAATGAGCAGAGGAAAGTGAGGACATTTTATGACTTGCTCGACAAGGGTGAGATTGGTGTTGTGGTTGAGGAATAAGTTTTAAAATTTGAACAGAGATCCGTGCATTCTGCCGTTTTGAATTGCTTTGGTTATTCCATTTGACTCTTGAACCTAATGTCGGTTTCAGTGTTGAGTTTTTGGAGAATAAATTCCTCATGCTACTTAAATGTGATGACACATTTCTGTTATTGCTTCACATAGAAATCAATGTATGTACTTTGCTTTGTTTTCTATTTGCCAATGTTTCATATGGTACATATAACCTCAAATGTTCATTTGCTGCTTGCTGAGAATATGTTGCTTAAATTAGGACATAAAAAACAAAACAATTATGTTTTGTAGTAACCTTGGTGCCTAAGCCTTCAGTTGTTTCTGTGGAATCTCTACAACAGTAGTAAGAGTATAGCCCTTAGCATTTCATCGTCATATGCGAATTTCCTAAGCCTTATTGGGACACACTTGATAGTTGATACCGCTGCTTCACATGTGATTGTTCTGTTTTATATCCGTTCACATCTTTTGCCCCCATAGTCTTTTGCACAAACTATTATGGCCCGTTTGGTTCGCGCGTTCTAGTAAGGCTTTGTTTGGTATGAGGGTTTAAATTAGAGTAATTTTAGTTTTGATTTTGGAATTAGAACCATAATTCATGATTTTTGGTTCAAATCATGGTTCTGAAATCAAAACAAGAATCAAGGGTATGAACCACCCAAAATCAAGGGGAAGATGGTTTTAGAATCAGGGGTGATTCTGATTTAAAACATCACATCATGATTCAAACCTTGAATCAGAATCATCCAAACCAAACACTGATTCTGAACGAGTCAAATCAAAATCACTTTTTTTTTTTGCAAACAAGCACTAATTTGAACCAAAATCATGGTTCAGGGTTCTAAAATCATTTTACCAAATGTGCTCTTAAGTGATTTTGATTATGGATTCAAATTTTATGAGAGAACTCATCGGTGAGAACCTTTTTTTGATTAAAATTTGTTGTGAGAGAGCATAATCAGAATTATGGGTTCAAGTCTTAGAACCAAAGGATGGCTTTTAGAACCAAAGGATGGCTTTGGGGGAGCGTTTGGTACGTAGTAATCAGTGTGAATCATATTCTTGGAAAAGTGATATAAATCCCAAGAAATCTACATTATCGTGTTTGGTTGCGTACAAGAACCCTCTCTCAAATTCTCTTAAATAATATATTACTGTATTTGGTTGTGCATGAGAATGTTGTCTAGTAGAACAAAAAATAAACTATTATATTTTTTTTTTTTAAATTTACTATTACTTATTTCAATATTATTAAAATATCAACTTTCATATATATTTTTTAAAAAATAACTATCCTCATAACATTTAAAAAATGTAACCAAACATGTCACTAAAGAGGCTTCTCTATATATTGAACCAATATAGCCACATTTATTTTCTTTTCTTCTTTTTTTTTCCCTGCCCATTTACCAACCGCAAAGCAACGGATTCAACAAAAAAGAAAAAGAAAGGTAACAACAAGCAGAACAAAAAGTTACAGATAAAAATGAAAGAAGTGAAGCAATTCAAATAAAACAAAGAATTCAGCCAACAAAAAAAAAAAAAAAAAAAAGAGTTGCAACTGGCGGAATGCATACATACAGACAAAAAGGAAACAAAAGATTCAACTATTGGAAAAAGAAAAGAAAAAAAAAAACAAGAAACGCACTGATCGTAATGTTAATAACATGTTTCAAATAAATTATTAAGAAATCAATGGAAAATCAATAGATTATTCATCGAGAAGAATTTTAAAATACCCTGAAATATTTTTCAGAGAATAATCTACAAAAAGGAAGACAAAAATCATGCTCTGAAAATGGTGGTGGCTGCAGCACAGGGAAGTCTGGGGACAGCGGCACGGTGACGGAAGACCTTCGGCGGCAGCGGCATAGTGATTGAGGGGTGGTGGCAGCAAGGTGAGATGGGGACTTGGAAGGGATGAGTGAGAGGTTAGGGTTGTAAAATTTTTATCATTATGTTCACTTTCTTAGGAAAGTAAAGTGTCTCTGGTCTATGATTCAGAATCATGATTTATAATCATTCTCAATTTACGTGTATTTTTTATGAGAGAAAATACTGTAACGAACCACGAACCATGATACGGATCCTTGCTCCAAACGCACCTTAAATAATATCCTACTAAGTGGGTTTATGATTATCATAAAATGTGATAACGTAAAATCCATAAGTTTCACTTTTTTGAGTTTTAAACAAATTTAATAATTATATCAAACATAAAATTTTGAAAGATTCTCATTCTCACTCTTAATATTATCTCATACTAAATACCCTGAGAGCCTACTTCCTAAAGGTACATTTGTGTAGGTGCTTATCTGTTATAATTTCGAGCATGGCAAGTTGTTTTTTCTTTACTTATAAACTCTGTGTCTTTACCAGCATACCAAGGCCACAAACTCAGCAGTAAATTGCTTCCCTTTGGTTACTTGTCTATGGCCCCAAATTTTCATGGCACGACCCGTGGCAACGTGCTAATCTTGACAAAAATATTTGCGAACTTTGGTTACTGCATACTCTAACAGTAGAAGAGCTTATTTTATTTTATTTTTTTAGGGGAGCTTATTTTCTTTTTGTTTCGATAATATCCCTAAACCACTGATGTGATCTCTTTTATCAACTTTGAAAAACTTCAATGATTTGGTACCTCTATTATACGGTTTTGTGTAGAAGATTAAAAAAAAAAAAAGGTTTATTACCATTTATTCGCAGAAATGGCAAACATATTTGAAATTGAAGGCATGTAGCTGCCAAAAAGGATTCGAGAGAACTATACTATACTAGGGGTGCATTTGGTAGTGCTTCTTGAAGTCTAAAATTATTGTTCTAGCCATCAGAAATTAATAATGGTGTTTAGTAAAAATTATAAAAAGTGATTTTTAAAGAATTTTTGAAGAATTTACGGTCATAATCAGAAACAGGTTAAAAGCAACTTTGACTTTTAGATCGTGCATGAATTATCATAGTACAATTAATGATTATCAACAAAGTTATATTAAATAATTAATTATTAATTACTAATTATATTATATGTTAATTAAATAGATATACTTAATAACTAATAAATAGATAGTAATTACTTAATTATTAATTAAATATTAATTTATTACTATTAAGTTTTTAATTTTGTTAATAAAATAATAAATAATATAGTAATTATTTATTTAGTTAAAGATTAATTGCCAAAAAATAATTATATAACATATTAACAATAAAGTAAGTAATAATAGGTTATTAAATAAATAATAAATAATTAATATATCAATCATATGCTATGTTAATTATAATCTATTAATTAGTAAATAGTTGGTAAATAAAAATAAATAGTAATTACTCAATTAATAAGTAATATTTAATTATAATTATCAATATGTAATATATTAATCAATAATAATTATTATTCATTAATAATTATAAAAATAATAATTACTAAAAATTGATCATGTGATATATCAATTAATAGATTATTAAATAAACATTAGTAATTAATTAACTAATCATTTAATTATATAACTAAAAGTTAATAATTTAAGTATTAAAAGGAACATTAATAAATTATGTATATACTAATCATTTTTCTTAATACACTAATTAATTACTTATAATCTAATAAATATGAGTACATTACTATCATAGTAATTATCTATAATTAATTATTAATTACTATTTTTAATTATTTAACATATTAATTTATTATATATATAATTTAATTATTAATGTACTCATTAATGATAATTTAACCATTATTATTATATTATTAATATATTAATTTTTATTTGCTAAATAATTATCAATTATTAATTACTTTAATATTAATTTAAAATTATTAATTACAATTATCTTAACTACTCACAACAATTTAATCTCATTATTCATTCTTCAGTTACTTTTATGTGTTTGATTGTACGTTTAATTGTGCAAGTACGATATATATAAAACTACCCAAAAAAAAGTACGATATATATAAAAATAAAAAAAAAGGAGGAAAGAGAATGCTCGCACTTTTTTTTTTTGAGCAAGTTAATTATCGTACTTTATATGTAGAAAATGAGCATGGAGAATGTTAATGACTTAATTCCCGCACCCTCTTAATACTGATTCCCATAAAGTAAGATCACATGTTAATCGATTATATAAAAAAGAACATTTCAGTAATTTCACGATTAGTTTCTTCTTTTTTATATTTAGTAAATTAGTAAATACTAGAAATAAAAATGAATTGAATAAATAAATGCTAGAAATAGATCAATAATATTCATTCTTATTTTTCTTTTACTTTTATTTTCAATTTCTTTAATCTGTTCTGTTATATTCTTTTGTGCTTTCATAACATCTCAATGAAATATATATACTAGTTGAGCCATGTATTACGCATGTAAATAATAGCTTTATAAATTTGATTCTGTGTCAAAACACATAGCTTCCTTAGAAGTTAAGTCCATTAACTAGAGTAAGATAAAAAAAATCTTAAAAAATCATATTGAAAAAAGAAATTAAAATTATATAAGAGTTTTTGACAAAAAAGAAAAAACTTAAATATGGAGACAATTAAAAGGAATTATTTTAATTAAAAGAAAGTGAAGAGAAGAAAGTACTTTAAAAAAATGTAATGTTCAAAGAATGTTAGGAGGAAAAAAAAAGTCAATAAGCAAAAGAAAAGAATAAAAAATAAAAGAAGATTAACATATAAAAAGAGGAAAAGTTAAAAAATAAAAAAAGATTTAAAGTTATATAGGAGTTTTTTTAAAAAAAAAAAAAAACGTAAGTACATATTAATTAAAAAGAAGTAAGGAAAATTAAAATATTTTAAAGAAAGATATTGTAAGAGAAAAAAAATGTTAAAGAATATTAAGGTAAAAATAAAAAAGACAATAAGAAAAAAGTTTAAAAACTAAAAAAAAAAAGAGGAAAAGATGAAAAGTTAAAAAAAGAGACCAACATGTGGCCTCATTAGGAGCTAAGTCCAATTTTATTTTGTCGGTCAGAATTATATTTTTATTGTTAGATTGATTTTTTAATGGTAAGATATATAATAAGAGTTATTTTGTGTGACGCGCTTTAAATTTTTAGTATAGACTTATACAAATCTTATCATTAAAGAATTAATCCAACGATTAAAAGCATATATTTTACTAGTGAAATAAAATAGCATGCTCCACCGTAAAGATTTCTTAATTATTAACCGAAAAATTTATGAGGGTAGAAAATAATATCCTAAGTTGGTAAAATGTACATAACAATTACGTCCCACACACCATAAAAGAATGCGTCTATTGACATAATTTATTCTACTTGTTACACCCCTTTTAAAATTTCAAGAAGTCCCTGTATCTAAATTATCCACAATTCTATTTTTTACACACGCATTTTTGTATTAATTAATATCAATTAATGGTTTAAATTTCTTAAAATATATTTAATATCAATTTATTATCTATCAATTAATCTTATAAATTTATTAACGGAGAACACGTTTTTTTGGAGGGACGAAACGTTTCGTCCGTTTCTCCTCTCAAAATTAACCACGTTACTTTTTTTTTTTTTTTTTTGCATGCAGGAGGAAATGATTTGGTGTGAGGCCCTTCAACTGCAATACCACGTTTCAGTTCCAATTGGTCATATGGAAAATGCTTTCTACGTGGCGAATTTCTATTCGTAAGCTCAAATGGGAGCCCACATTTCAACAAATAAATGGATAAACAAACTAAGCTGTCGTCCACTGCCACTTGTCGCTGCCTTATTCGAGGAAGGAAAACGTGGGCGGGGGCCCACCTGTACAAAAGCTGCCGAGTTGTCCCCTACCCCCTCTGCCAGACGTGCCGCTCTTTGCGCATGTTTTTCACGCGCCAATCGTGGGCATTAGTTGCATTGATCGACGGCTAGAAAAATCATGATTTATTATTATTATTAGTTATTATATTTATTTATTTATTTTGTAGAGTGATTTTGGGTGTGTTCCGCAGCCTAAAAAACTAAAAAAAATGTAACTCAAATTTTAATTTTATTTAAGTTCACGTTTTTTTTTTTAAGTTTAAACTCGAGTTTGAGACAAACTCGAGTTCAAGTTTTCCCTTCAACTCGAGTTCAGAAACTTGATCTCAAATTAATGAACAATATTTTTCTATTTGCTATAACTTTTTTGTTTTAATTCTGATTGAGATGATTTTTTTTATGTGTTGACAACAAAAAGACGAATAAAACTCTACCCATATTACCATATTAAAATTTTTCATCACTATTGAGTTTTTATTAAAAACTATATAAATACAAATTCAAGTTATAACTTCAACTCAATTTTAACTCAAGAACTACACTCAAATCACACTCTAAAAGAACAGGCCAAAGCAAGTTGGGTAGCTATGGTGGTGAGCAAGGGTGATTAGATCTTAAGATTTTGTTTTAGGTTTTAATTCTTAGAAAATAATGTTTGATTATACGTTTATTACTTTATTATTTAGAATGTTTTTTATAAATAATATTTAGAATATTTAGTTTTTATTGTTAAAATACTTTGAACGTTTAATAAGACATTGTTTATTTTACTGATTAGAGTTTTCAATTCTAGTTTTATTACATTTAAAAGCTCTTAAAAAAAATTATATCTAACTTTTTCTATTACAGTTAAAAGTTCTCACATAAAATCACATATCAATTCGAATTGAAAATTCCAATCCACAAACTGAACGAGACTTAAAATTATTTTTTATTGCCACCTAGGCATTTTCCGTTTAGTTTATAAACAAAAGTGGATGTAGGGGTTATTTAAACCGGTTTTTATATATCAGGGAGTGAAATGAAACATTTTAAAAAATTAATGAGCATTTTGAAACATGGTACATACTTCAGGTGGTATTTATGAAAATAATCCAACTATTTTAATATAACATGCGAAGAAATATTAGCATAACTTTTTTTGTCACTCTCTTTGTCACTCATTACATTTATTATTTGACACGCGAACTCCACTAACATAATTTATTATTATTTAAATAAAAAATGAGATAATAAAACTCACATGTCAAATAGTAAATGTTTTTCCCTTAACATAGCTTATAAGAACTAAAAGGTTTTTCTCTCCTTTTAACATGTGGCATTACAAAGAGGCTTCTCATTCTTTTTAACACATGAACATCATCTTTTTCTTTTCTTTTTTCCGTATTTGTTATTTTTTTAAAGTTTCTATACAGTTTAATTTTATTTACTTTGTGTTTCTTTAAAATCGCTTTGGACTTACTACAACAATTTATTTAAAATATATGACTATTTTGCAATTTAATCATTTTTTAAGTGTTTCTCAAGAACACATTTTTTTATCGTCATATTCACATTTTTTTTCCTCAGTGGTATTATCAATTTATCTTATAAAAAATATAATTTATCTTCGTTTAAATAATGTTTTTCACATATGAGTTTACTTAAAATTCTTTTTCCAAATGCGGCCCTCGTAAAGTATTTTTTTTTTCTAATTGCTTTATTAATATCATATCTTCTTAAATGTCTCTATCTAAATATTATTTTTCCTTATAATCCTTTTAAATACTATTTTTTCATATGTACCCCATAAATAATTTACTCTCTAATTTGCTCCACTAAAAACTTTGTTTTTCTTTTAACTATGTTATACTTAAATTTATTTTTATTTTTTTTACTAAACTAAACTCTTAAAAGAATACTAAGTTAATAAAAAAAATTTATAGGAATTTTAAATCTTTATATTTATAAATATATATATATATAACACGTTGAATGTACACTCATCGCGCATGCATTCAACTAGCATTATATAAACACCTCACGTGTTTATAAAATCAGACTCATGAGAAGTAGATAATTAAAAAAAATATCTACTTCAAAAAACATTATTATACCAAATTTCACTTCTCAGAGTGGATCTTGTAAAGCGATGTGGTTTTTTTATTGAGTTCTCCAACCAAATGCGCTGAATATGATTCGAGCAAATTTAAGGTGGTTCAAGCCGAAACCCATGAGCTAATGTCATTGAGGACATAAAGGATGGTATTCGAATGCTAGATTGAATTTGTGTGTTAGGGGAAGAGTGTATCCCATTTTATTACTTGTTATGCATTATCTTCTTTTGTTGATTTGTCACAGGATGTTTCTATTCCTCGTTTCATAGTCTTTATGTACTCTTAAATTTAATAAAAAAGTAAAAGTAAATAACCTTTTCTAGAAACCAGATTAAAAAAATGCATCTTCAGGCTCAATGACCAACTTTTAAAAAAAAATATTTTAATAAAATTTGTACGACTCATTTTCAGTGTCTAGAAAAGGGAAATGTTAGCAAAAGACCAACCCGTTTAGAAAATATATTTCAACCATATTTGAATTTTGATTCAAATTCTTTGTGAAAAAGCTATTGGTAGAAAAAATTTTTATTTAAATTTTTTATGGAAAAAAAATACTGTAGAACCATAATTTGAGTTTGAATACATGTATCAAACAAGTTTACCCACACGATTTCCAAAGAGTGAAAAAGTACAGCTCAAAAAATAGAAAGATATACATTCGTTTCCACTACCTGCTTTTCTTTTACAAAGGGTATGAACAATTAATTATAAGTAAAAAGAAAATGCCTCAATAATTAACCTGAACAACGCTCACACCTACCAAATTATCAGACACCAAAACCTAACTCAACACAGAGCCACCATACAACAAAATCAGCATACAGAGATACAGACGCGAAGAAACAGCAGGATTGCGCTAAAAACAGGCAGAAGCAACCACGTTTCCACTCTGCACTTCTCTACATTGATGGCCTAATCTCCATCAACAACAAATGACGATCTTGCGATCCCGGAGAACACCAATTACGGAGACATTTCGTTCCATTGAACCAATGGACGCTGATCCCCGAAAAAAAGTGTGATGATAAGTATGACTGTTATTTTTGGGTTCTAATCACGTATCATCAAAGTGAAAGCAGTCAGCAACTCTTAAATGCTTTGCTAGCCGAAGAACAGCAGCCCGCACAACATCAGACTCGGGAGAGACGGAACCAGGAAGAGATGGTAAGCACGTGGGCAAACATTGCTCGTTATCTTCTGGAGAACAGAAGAAATACAGCACCGATCTGCAGAATATGAATCTGGAAATAGAAGCATGTCATCAGCATGAGACCTCCCTCTTAAACACAGAATCAAAGCTCGGAAAGAATTGTTAGTATATTTTTGTCATTAAAATTCATAGCATAATTCGTGCTATGATGCTGTCCTTGTACAGAGGCACAATGCATCAGGACATCAGGATCTTACTTATAATAAAAGCTGTTAACTTGTAAAATGAATTTTTGTGGGAAATAGCAATTATGAATCATCTACGGTTTATCAGTCAACAAGAAGTTTTACGACTGATTTGTTTACCAACAGCACGTGGAATTACAAGTCACAACAGATTAGTCTAATTATAGGTGGCTTCTTGCACAATTCCATTAAAGATTATTACAGTAGAATGTACTCGGATCTGGAATTTGTTACTCTGCATTGTTAGGCCTTAGTGGGAAGGTGTGAAACTACACTTGTTCTTAAATTAAAATGTTATCAACTAAAATGAGAGAGAGTTGCTATCTGCTATACAAAAGCTCAAACCTCAGAATAAGTCGCCGGAGAAATGGATCAGATAAAACTTGTGCCCAAACCAGATCCAGAATTGTTGATGTGCATAGAATTACTTCCCACTCAGAGAAGGCAGTGGAGAGTATCTCCTCAGCATCATTATAAACACCCTAAAAAGAGAGACAAATGAGAAGATACCCAAGGCATTAAATATTCGGGAAGTACAAAGAAGTTCTTGAGTTAACTTACTGCCTCCGTATCCAAATATGAAAGGCCAACTAATTGGCAAAATGCTGACAGAGGAGCAGTCAAGAAAAACGTAAACTGACTTCCATTTTGTGTTGTATCAGCATCAGATGGGTTCTTAAACACCGGTAGCAAAGGTGACAGAAATAGAGCAGCTGGCTCGCCCCTCTCTGCACCATGCAAAACCTGAAAAATTCACAACTTCCAAGTAAGCACCTTGAGAGGGATGACAATCAGATGCAGATGGACTGATGCATCATGTTACTCTTTCAAAAGCACCTTGAGAGGGATGACGATCAGATACACGTAAGCAACTTAGTAATATGTTATCACCATATGTTAAAAATAAAATAAAATAAAAACCCTCCAAAAGCATCAAAAGGGCCAAAAAATCTCTTAAGAATATTTTCCATCCATATTTTATGTGTTGGATGACTCAGCGAACCATTAAAGGCTTGATAATGGTTTATCAACAGATGGTGGACACAATACACATATTTTCTGCAAGTGCGTTTAGTCGCATAAGGCCATTCTAAATAATTTAGACAGCCAAAAGGGTTACAACTATAGCATCGGTGTAGGCAACTGCAGAATTACATTAATAACGAAGAGAAAACAATTGACCTAACTTTGGAGTTCTTTAGCAAAGATGAAAGCAGAAATCATTACGTTGTCTCAGAACTTGATTCAAGTAGACATGGCAATTTGTATTTTAAAAAAAAAAAAGTGCACAATAACATTAAAAAAGAAAAGAAAGAAAAACCATGAAGAAAAAAATATGCAATTATTGAAAAAAAAGGAGTGGGGAGAGGGTAACAAAGTATGATCTCAACTACATTTTACTGCACAAGAAAACATTGAGCCTTGGAAAGCCATGCACAAGTTTTGACAAACCTGCCTTGAATGCATGGCTGCTGTCACTATCAATAATCAAGAAAAGAGGTCTACGTGTAAATGGAACAATATCTCCAGGATAGAGGTTATTTAAACCTGAAAATCCAAAGAATAGTTAGATAATAGTGGAACAATAAGATAACGCCTCTGAGAGCTAAATAAAAACACGATTGCTCATAATAAAAGAGTACTGTTTATTTACAATGATTTTATCGGCACCTACCACCATTTCCTCCTGGCCCGAACCAAAGATATTTATCATAAAATCCACTCGACGAATCTCCCTTGTCACTTACACAAGAATCCGTCAGCGTATTATTCTGCTCGTGGAGGGACACGGCTTTGTTTCTTGGCAATTTCTGAGATCCTCCTACGCATTCCATTTGGGTAACATTACGACCAACTTTCCCTGCATAATTCATGATCAAGGTTACTTGTTTTGGATGGCAACACTTGAATAGTTGATTCTTTATCATAACATAACAAAAGTAACAAACCTGAGGCTGAAAGGTATACAAGCACAATACCATCTGGGGGAAGCTCCTCACAAATTGTAGCCAAAACCTGCCAAGTGCCAACACATAATGAAGTTAAACATAAGCTTTGCCAACCATACATCTATTACAGAAGAATTTCTTTTGGGCATGTAAGGTAGAGGTGACCAAACTTCCTGTTCACAAATGATTCTCAACATAACCGTAATCAAATGCAGCAGTTTGACGAAGGGCTACTGGACATAAACCTAATGAAACCTCATTACCCAAGAATGAATATAACGACAGACTATATCATTCCAACCATTTACAGAGAGTTCCTGTGTCAGGCATTGGATGCTTAAAAGTTGATATTCACAAACACCTCTTAACAAAAAACTCATCCAAAGCAGCAGCTTTGAAAATGGGCCTCTTTGCCTAGTGGAGCTCGTTAGCCCAAAGATCATAATAGAAATAACGGAACCTATCAACTCCCAAAAACGAATGGAAACTGCAGTTGATAAGGCATAAACCATGAGGTTTAACAGCCAATTCTATAAAACTCACCGCTATCAAATGGGTCACAGAAGGACGATAGAGAATAGCTTTCCTTGGGTTTGGAGGGAGAGTTGGATCAGTCATGTCTGCTGCCAAGTTCATATCAATTAGTCCGGAAGCCCCAGAATGATCAGTAAAAGAGCCATTCTCCTTTGGCTCAATTGGACGCTTTTGGTAAAAGGATCCAGTTGGCTCCCATTCCAAACATTGCAACATTCTGAATGTGTCCAACGTAAGTTCAGCAAACTTCACCTGCGGGTGGCAGTATGTAAACATTCAAAAAGTTTTTCATTTTTGCAGGGTTTTCATGTTGATTACCTCTAGATGAATAAAAATCATAAGCCAGCAGTGTGAACTAAACTATTGTACCTCATTCCTGTGATAGCTTGTCAGCAGGGCATCTTGAAATTTCAAAACCTTCTTTGCATGAAAACGGGACAAATATGGAAGAGATTTTGGATGAGAATCAAATGTAGCACAATACCGCAATGGTCGGACATTCATAAAAGCTGTATCAACTTTCATAAATCGAACAATTTCTTGTACCACTTGCCTCCATTCTTTAAAGTTAGTATCCTATGGAGAGAGTTAAGAGATCCATAATCAGGTAACTGAAAAATTTGTTTACAGGACATAATTAGAGGAAAACTAATTCTGTCTACATATACTAGGAGAAAAAAGAAATTCAATGAGTAGACAAGAAGACATTATGTCTTTGGAATATAGTATGATTGATGAATGATTTCAAATAACTTTATAACGAGGAACAAGAGATATAAATATTGTGGAATTTATGGTTATGTTAATATGTTGGGGCTATTTAGGATATACTCAAGCGTATTTTGTTAGTGTTATGTTTATTTATTAGGATTAATCTATAAATAGAACTCGCGTTTGTATTCTTCACTTTGGACCTTAATTTCCCCTAGACTGTTCTCTGTTCTTTTCAAATTCATCTTCTTCTCTATATTCTTGTTTCTCCTATTCTTTTCTCTCTCTTTCTTAAATAAAAAACTGTGTTAGAATTCTATGCTCCTTAAATAATAATAATAATAATAATAATAATAATAATAATAATAATAATAATTTGACGCGAAAAAGAACAAAAAAACTAGTGGTTTTTGGGCATTTAATCTTCCCAGTCATAAATTATACATATACACAATGACGATACTCAGTGACACTTGCGTTAACATCAACCAACTACTAGAACAGTTTTTCGCGGCTTCTCCCTGCCAAAACAGAGACACATCCCACCAACCACACCAACGACAAGAAAAGTAAAGAATGAAAAATAAAAATCTCCGCACAAGTACTGGAAAACCGATGTGGTGCCTGTTATGTGGCCTACAACTTAACACTCAATACTTGTGTCAATTATTGTACGAATTACAATGCATTGTTTAAGGAAAATTGAAGCTACTACCATAACCAGGTTCCTTCTGAAAAGTATAACTTTATTTGACTGTTTTTTCAAGTCAGCATGATAACCAAACCCAGTGAGATAGGTTGACAGAGAGTTTTTTTTTTTTTTTTTTTTAAATATTTTTTTCATTATATTATGTTTAATCTCTGTCAGCGTGTTGTCGATTCTATACCCAAACCCAGCTTAGTCGGTGAGATTACCTAGTCCACCAGGAACTAACCGAAGGCAGATGAACAAAAACCCAGAGTATCATCCTTCGTCGATTTTCTTATAAGACTGATTACTACATATCAGAATTAAAAGTGCTCAATTAACTGATTACTGCATATCAAAATTACATAATTAACTTAGAAGTTACTCGTGGAATCTTGATTATGTGCCCCTAGAAGTCTAATCAAATTGCAAATAAGAAAAGACCAATCTAATCGATCTAATTGCCGCAATCAGTCGTACTAATTCCGTTACGAAAAACTTCCTGATTAGTGAAAAGGAGAAGATTAAGCATACGATTGTTGAACTAACTAAATTAAGCTAAAAAAAAAAAAAATACTCAATTGCTCGACAAGAAATTAAAAAGGAAATTTACCCGAAAATTGGCTTTGCTGTCATCAACAAGAGCCTTGAAGCGGTCCAAGAGATGCTTGACCATCTCCGTCCGGTTCAAAATGAAAGAAACAAGTAAAAACCTGGCGTAAAACCTCAATTCCTTGAACCTAACACCGAGATCTTTCCCGAAACCCTTGGATCCCTGAAAGTAGCCGCGATTAAGAATGGCCTCGTAGAAGACGCAGGCCTCGACAAGAAACCTCGCCTCGCTGGTCCTCATGTACTGGCCGAAGTAGAGCTGGCCGATCCGGCTCGCGATCTCGCCGATTTCCCAGCGGTTCAGGCCGGCCTCCACGAGCCTCGCCCGGTTCTCCTGCTGGTACTTCCACAGCCGCATGTACGCCTTGAACACCTTCTGGAAGTAGTGCTGGTTCTGGACCCGCCCGTACGCCGGCACGTCGCGAACCCTAGCGAACTTCCGGTCCGCGCTCTCCACCAGCGCTCGGAAAGTCCTCGACACGACGTCGTTCTCGGACATCTCCGGAGCCGACGAATAACGATACCTCCAGAATCCTCTTCAGTTCTCCGACCGACGGCGGCGATTTTCCCCGGCGCAGACCGGAAAATCTACTCACCGGAAAATTTTTCAGAGAGAGAAAAACGCAACTCTTTTTTTTTTTTTTTTTGGTTTATGCTTGCTATATAAACCGATGATTAAATTAATAATTATCCGGCTAACGTCATAATAGTTCTACGAAATTTCTCTTCTTCTTTCTTTCTCTCTTTCTTTTTTTTTGTTTTTGGCTTTATTTAATTTTGCTTTTCGGCTTTTGCTTTTGGCGTTTGTTTCTGGTCGCTGAGTTTCAGTGACGAAGACAGAGAGAGAGAGAGAGAGATTTTGTGTTGAGTTTGATCGCTGAAACGCATGTGGGAGTAGTCAGGAGTGGTTCCGATTTGGAATTGAGGCTTTATTGGGTAATTCACATGAGTATGTTTGTGTCTGTCTGAGTAAGTTTTGGCTGTTGATGTATCTGATGTTTATGATCAGCTGACGGAATGCCGCCACGTGGCTATGTGCACACTGGTCACTGGATTTTATTTTCAAAGCTGTTGTTTTCAGAATATTATTTTGTATTTTCTGACAACTTACTCCTCAGACGAATAATGTTTTCTTTAACTAAAATAAACACTAGTAATTGAATTATTGCAAGAAACAAAAAGACAGTAATATTCCAAAAAGAAAAAAAAAGGAAACAGGATTTTATAATTCTGTGACTTATATACATGATTGCTTAAATAGTAATTTGATTCTGAAAATAATTTACTTTTTTCCCCGATTATTATTACTTAAAATAAAAGTAAGGTATTTTCGTAAGGTATACTCAAATTATAATTTTTAATTTTAACGTTTGAAATTTAATTTTTTTTAAAAAAAATACCATAGTAAAATTAATAACTTGAATTTAAGTATATAAAACAAACGGCCTTAAGTAATCACGTTTTTTAAACATTAACACTATGTTTAGTAGAGTGAAAAAGAGAGAGAAAATAAATTGAAGGAATGATTTTAGAGAGAAAAGGGAATCTTAAGGCCCGTTTGAAAGTGTTTTTAAAATTGTTTTGTTTTTAGATGAAAATAAAAATGAAAAGGTTTTGAAAACCGTACCAGAATCGTTTCTAACACTGTGTTTGGTTGTTTTATTAAGAGATTATTTTTAGTATAAAAAAATAAAATTGTGTTCAGTTTATACTTTTAAAATTCTATTTTCAGTACCTAAATTAATAATTCCTAATTAATATATTAAGTAATTACCAATTGATAATAACTTGATAAAAAATAATTTTGTAGCAAAAAAATTAATATATATAATAAGATAATATATTAAATAATTAAATAATTAAAAATTAATAAGCTAGGAGAATGGTTAAATTAGCTATTGACCGGCGTTGACCAGTGTTGATCGGAGCGTTGACGGGGGAGGCGGGTACCAAATTGGAGCTCTTGGCAAAAGGAATACCTTCCTGATGTTGGTTTCTCAGATCAGTGTCTGATTCGTCGAAAAAATGTCAAAAACATCAAAACTTGGCGGCGGCGACCCAAACTTCTCCAACAATGATCGAGGCTAAGATTGGTCGGGTTTTGCTCCTCTCAACAGCGGAAATACAACGGCATGGCTTGCTAGGAAAACAGAAGTTCGACAACACTAGAATCTCGAGTTGAAGAAAATAGCATGACGACTTCTCATCATGATTTCTGACAACTGGCGACGAGTGAGGCGACGTGGCTTTGGCTTCAAGAATTTCGGGGAACAAGGAGCAAGTTGGTCAACGAGTGGTGGTGGACGGCCGATGTACGGTGGGCGATTGTGATGGCAGACAAGAGAGATGAAAATGGAAATGAAAGAGGAAAAACGATAAAAGACCGTTTTCAAAAAGAAACACAAATAATAAAAACGAGAAAGACCATTTGCCATCTTATTTTCAATTTCATTTTCGGCGCCTTGATTTTTGTAAAAAATGGTTTCAAAACCGATTCCAAACCCGCATTTATGTTGTTTGGTAGAGAGAAAATAGAGATTGAAGGAAGTTATAAATTCATGGGGCCCACCACTTTTCATTCATTCCAACTTTGGGAAGAAAATAAGAGGAAAAAAAATTAACAAGTAAAAAAGGATGTAAAATAACTATTGTAACCTTAAACCATACACCATATTTTTATTTGTATAAGGGTATTGTTGCAGAATAATTTAGATTTTACAATTTATTTTCACTTTTCTTTCTCTTATATCAAACAACATGAAGGCAAACTTTCATTCTATCATTTTACTTTTTTCACCTAGGTATTTTATTTATCCTCCCTTTTTATTTTTCTTCCCTCCTACCAAACATAGCATGACTCCGTTTGGTAAGAGGGATGGAGAAGAGGAGTGATGGTGAGTTGAAGGGATGGAGAATGTGAGGATGAAGAGGATTATGGTAACCTTTTATATTGTTTGGTATGAGGGAGGAAGAATTAGAAGGATGAATGATTGAATGTTTGTTTAATTACTTTTTTGTCTTTTTTACTAATTTCATACTAAACTTTTTAAGAATACAATGGTCTTTTCTAATATTTAATGGGTAGCTTGTATGGATCATTTTATTAGAGAATGGGTGCAAAATGGTGAGTCCGGGTAGAGAAAGTCTCTTTACTTCTCCTCTCCCTCAAACTAAATAAGAGATCTGAGGATGTTTGGTAGATGGATTCGTTTCCTGATTTGAATCATAATTCGTGGTTCGCTACAATATTTTCTCTCACAAAAAATACACGTAAATCGAAAATGATTCGAATCATATGATTTGAATCCTCCAACCAAACGTCCTCTAAAGCTCTCCCTCCATCTCTTTCCAATCCCTCCACCCCTCTCCCTCCCTCTATCTCTTCCTCCTACCAAACATACTAAGGGGTAAGTAATTAAATTATTATTCTAAGGAGTTAATTACATTTATTCTTTTATATAGCAGCCCTTGCGGAATACTCAAACATTACAATATATATATTTTTGGGATAAACATTACAATATTTCAATAGCTACTCAAACATTACAATATTTCAATAGCCACTCAAACATTACAATACAACATTTTTATGTCAACACTACTTTTAAGCAATTTTTAGAAAAAGAGACTTTAATTTCAATATTTTTATGTTGAAAAAAGAAATAGTTCTTCAATGTTCCAAATAGCTATTCAAACATTACAAAGATAGTTTCAGCAAAAAAATAAAAAAATAAAAAAATAAACATTACAAAGATAGCACTTTTTTTTTTAATCCTCAATTATTTCAAATTTGTCTATTCTCAATTATGCAATAGTTCAAAACTAATTATGCAATAAACCCTCCAAATGGGGAGGGCAAACCCATTAAAATTTCAGAGTTTATTGCCATTAATCATATCACTTTAAAATTAAATTAATAGTCATTTATGAAATCTTTTTGATTGATAATCATTTATCATATCTAATAAATATTCCTATCTACAAAGCTTCATTAATGCTAATGTCAGAAGGAGAAAAAGGGTAGTAATCATCAACCTCTATGCATGGCTTTCATTTTTCTACTTTCTTCTTCCGAAAGTCATCTCTCTGTTTGACTAGAATGACATTACTAATTCCTAAATGCTTAAACTAATTTTTACCAATTTTCATTTAGGCCCCTCACGTGAGGAATTTATTCTTTTCCTTTTCTGATAAGCAATCTGAAAAGTGACCTTAGCTAAATTAAAAATGTTGTTCCAATATTTTATAAGGGGGGACAGCTTGCAACAAAGTTTGACTCTAGAAAACGAATCTGAGACAGTAGCAGTTTGTACAGTTTTGCCTAGCAAAATATATCAAAAAACTACTTCTTTGACCAAACATAATTTATTGTTGCTGTTCTATTTTTCATTTGTCCCACTCCTTTTTCTTATAAAATGCCTCAGTTGTCAAAATGGGGCAAGTGAGAAATTGGTTTTTTTTTTTTGGCAGTGCATGGTGAACCACCTTCTCTAATGCAATTAATTAAATGGTAGTCTTATCTGGGCCCTTCTTTATCAATATTAATATTGGTTGAGACGACAATCTCTTTCTGGAGAAAACAAAAATGTATTGTGTTTGGTACAAAATCATTTTGACTTAAAATTATCGTCTTAGTTTTGTATTACCAATCTGTTAAGTATCATATTAATTATTTAGGTTAATCTCACAAATGGTCTTGAAGTTTATTTTAAATCTCACTTTGATTCCTGACTTTTAACATATCTCACAGTTGGTCAATAAGATTTTATTTTATTTGAGTTTCGGTCTTTCCATTAATTAGGTATTAAATATTTGACAAAATCTGTTTAAATTATAAATGAAATTAAAAAGAGCTAAAATTTAGAGACTATTTTTGAAAATTAAATTTTGTTATTTGTATTGTTTTAATCCATAAACTTGAATTTGGTCCCTAACTTTTACAAGCTCTATCAAATATTTAACACCTAGTTAACGGAAAGATTAAAACTGAAATAGAGTAAAACATTTGAGACCAACTGTGGGGCGTTTTAAAAATCGAGGACATAATGTGAGATTGAGTGTAAACTTTAGGAATAATTTGTGAAATTAACCCTGATTATTTTTTTAAAGGATATCATATTAATTATTAGAAGATCTAAAAAATGACATATGTATTAAAAACTAAATAAATATTTTTAAAAATAATTAGGACAGAATACGGACTCAAATCACGTTTCAAAATGTTCTAAGAGATTTCTAAGTTCTAACAATCCACATTATACTACATTATCTAAAAATTTGAAATGCTTTTTTTTTTCTTAGAATAATTTAAAACGCCCCATAACTTATTTTTCCATGCATTAATATTTGAATTCATCAAATTACATGTTATAATAAAATCGGTGAATAGGTAATTTGACTAATCATGTATATATGATCGATATATGCATGTATCATTGCAAATAAAGTCGAAAGCTATTAAAGTTGCTCTTATTGTTGTATGACTATCTGGCATGTATTATATATATATATTGTGTTTGTATTTAGAGAATGATCTGGCATGTAGTTGAAACTCTAATTAATGCGCTGGATTTCATATAAAAAGTGAACACACATTATATATGAAATATGATAGACAGTTTTTTATTATGGGAAGAGGTCATGAAATATCGTGCCTAATCACATGGATTATTGTTTCCATTATGCCTCTGATTCCTCAATGAGTTTACAAGACTATTATTGATATAGGACCGGGAAGAATAGAATAATAGAGGTAGACTTCAGAGAGAAAATAAAATCAATAAAGTGAAACGGAATCAAGAGAAATATAGAAATTCAAGAAGAACAAGAAGTCAAAAGGAAGAAATCAATAATCACAATATCACTAATCATCAAAAACCTGAATGTACGTAACAATCACTAATCTATTTATAGAAAATGAATCCTAATCCTATTCCAAAAAAAGATAAACATAATCCTAATATCAAATTTAAATATTAAAATAATCCTAATTTAATTCGTTATCATTCTCCCCAATTTGAAAAAACTCAACTCCGGCGAGTTTTAAACTGAAAATAATCATGAAGCAACAATCTGAAAAAGCAAGAAATCTCTCAGCCTTAATACATGATTCTTAATTGAGCCATCGGTGTTTGCAAGTTGATTTAGGAGACATTTCAACTATCGAGAAAACGTCAAGAACAATCGAGACTTCTGATCACCATAGTTAGGAAATAATTCTACCTCTTTAAAAAATTAATTCCATAATCAAATTAGAAGGAAATTTAAATGAAATGCATTGGATCCACTTCCAACAACCGATTGCGAGATTGCGAGGAAGAGGATTCAATGGTTTTGGGAAGAGGTGGCTCAAGACAAAGAGTATCAACAATTTTTTTTTGGTCATAACCTCGTTATTTGCATCAACACTCGCAACAGGTGGGTTTGGTATACTAGGAATTGGAGAAGGTATAATAGGCATAGATTTTTTCTTTTGGTTTGGCAGGTTTCAAGATCAAAGTTTTCTTATACAGTCTAAAAAAATATTGATGCCCTTCAACATATCTCACATCATGATTATCAACCCGATGAAAGTCCTAACAAAATCTGAGTAACATTCATACGAAGGACATCGCAATAAACATATTGCTCATAAGGACCAAATTTAAGAGGTAGTAGACATCTTTGGGTGATTGTAAAATAACTTTTATTTTCTCAATATATTCAAAACGGTCTAGGGTGAGACTCAATTTAAAAATTCAAACAGTTGACAAATTTATTGACACAATAACAATTTTGTAAGGAGTATTTTGGACTGAGAGAAAAGTGTGAAAATAAGCCGTGTAATTTACGACCAGAACATAATTTTCTGTTAAGTTATAGAAATTCTCAAAGAGTATAGGTAAATTGTCTATCATAATAAGAGTCATGATAATAGTGACAGAGTGGAAAATTCATGATTTTTCTTTTTGTTTAAATGGATCCAATACACATAATTAAATTACCACCTAAAAAGATTATAGAAAAATTTTCAAAATAAAGGCAGCAAAATTTACCTACAAAAAATTGATGTCCACTGACGACCTTGTGTGGCAATCTGCGGTGGCATGTAATGGGCCACTTTCTCTTTTTTCCGTTTTTTGCCGCCTTCAATTTATGTGATGCTATCACATATGTCTCTAGTGCTGATCAATACGCGTGTGGGTGTGTTGTTGAAATCTTGCGGCTTAACAGCGTTGAATGAGACGTTTGGTTCATAAATTAAAATCATGAGATTAAAATTATTTTTAATTTATATATATTTTTTATGAAAAAAAATATTATAATTTATTAATTATGAATCATAATTCAAATTAAGGTATGAATTCTC